GCTCGTTCGTGCCGCCTACACCCCCAAAGCCTAGGAGACTTAGGGAATCATCCAGGACACCAGACACCGAGGACACAAGAACTCCAGAAGGGTCCATTGCATCTCAAACTGAGCGTCCAGAGTCCGAGTCACGATCACCAACCAGTCCTGCATCCACTGAGTCCGCAAGTTACGAGCCAGTAGCACACATGGCATGGGACCTCGATAGGAGAGAACAGGTTGAGATCAACTTGGAAGATAGCAATGAAACCGATTCGGAAGTCCCTCCAGATCCCAATGCACAGCCAAGTAGTTCAGGAGTCTTGTCCATTCCTTTGCAAATTGACCCCAATGAGAGAACCACCATGGGTAAGAAGCATAGGAGGGCAGTCTTGGAGGGCATTGACCGATTGAACCATCAAGATGCATTGGTCAAATCCAGCATTGGTCTGAAGGACGTCCCAGTTTCTGAGCCTCCAACTTTGGTCATTACTTCGCATCCCCGCATCTTTCAGGAGCTTCAAGCAGCAGATGGTGTTGCAGACGTTTTTGACGTCGGTGTGGGAGCTGAGTACCTCAATCCTGAAGAGGACTCCAAGATTTGGTATGATGTTTTGCAAGACTACAAGAACATCGTCATTGCCATCGAGTATGAACGGAGTACAGATCCTTTGAGACATGGTAAGATTTTGGGTGAAGTAGAATCCCATTGTGACATGAGTGGTAGCCGGTTTTTGCACATTGACGTTGCAACTACCCCGAGATGGGAGGAACATGAATTTCCACAGATTCCCCATATCAACGACCATGACTTGGCATTCACCTGCAATGATCCCAAGTGGACTGAGCTTTTCGAATCGTGGTTTCGAGGACAGACCATGAATGATGTTTTGTCTTGGCAGTTCGTTGATTGGTTAGGTGAATGGACCAATGACACAACTTTGGACGATGAGATGTCTGTTGCATTTGTTGGTGAACTGCAAGAAGAGGCCATGGATGATGAACAGCAGTTTGATGCCATCTGGGATGATGAAGATCGTGCACAAGTGAATCCAGTAGAAGACCTGATCTCAGAAGAGACACTGGTCGATGAAGTGGACATCCCAGGCCTGCCAGCAGATGAAGCCGAACGACGCCGGATGTGGCGCAAGTTGCCTGCACGTGTGAGGATTGGTGTGAGAAGATTGCATAGGCAATTTGGACACGTCCCCAAACAGACGATGATCCATCTCCTTCGTGCAGCAAAGGTTCGAAAGGAATTCATCGATGCTGTCAGGATCCACAGATGCGAAACTTGTGAAGCAACATCCCAGAAGAAGGCCACGCACAAGACAGCATTGCCTAACAACTACTCGTTCAACCACACTGTAGGAATTGATGTGTTTGAAGTTCACGACATTTCAGGTGACAAGTTCCAAGTGTTGAACATGGTTTGTTTGGGTACTACTTTTCAGCTATGTGAGGTTGTTCGTTTTGGTGCCGGTCAACCGTCTTCTGCCGAATGTCTGAAAGCACTGAGGAAGCGTTGGTTCTCATGGTGTGGCCATCCTGTGAACATTGCATGTGACAGAGGTCTGCACAACCGAGGTGTCATGAAGAAGTACATGGATGAACATGGAATCCAAGTGTACCACACCCCTCTGGAAAGCCCGGAGAATCTTGGTCGTGTAGAACGTCATGGAGGCATTGTCAAGTCACTCTTTAGGAAGGTTTGCAAAGAGACAGGCGCTATTGGCAGAGAACAGGTTGAGCAGGTACTGCTCGAGGTAGTAGCTACTAAGAACAACTCTAGTAGAGTCGGAGGTTTCTCGCCTAGTCAATGGGTACTTGGAAAAGGACCCCGATCAGATCCGAGCCCATTGTCTGAAGAACGATTTGCCGAGCTTGGAGCTATTGAAGCCCGTCACAACCCAGAGAGCATTTTCGCTTTACAGCACATGGCCAGGCAGGAAGCTCAGAAAGCATTTGTTCACCTAGATTGTTCGTCAAGGGTGTCCCGTGCGCTTACTCGCAATGCTTCCAGTCTTCCTCGGGAGTATGCAGTAGGTGATCTAGTGACCTTTCGTCGAGACAATCAAAAAGGGGGCACCACATGGAGTCCCACTAGTCGGGTGATAGGCCATGAAGGTGAAAGGAATTTGTGGTTGTTGTGTGGAAATGTTCCAGTGTTGGTCGCCAACCAAAACGTGAAGATTGCTACTCCGACCGAAGCACTAGCTCATGCTGTTTTGCATGGTGAGCCTGTTTTTCCCGAAAACGTTGTCAAGGAAGGTGTTCAGCAGTCTTTCCTTGATGCACGTGCAGATCCGAGCGAACCCGGATCCCCAATACACATCGAATCTCAAGAAACCGAACCCCAATTTCCGGATGCTGGTTCACTACCCCCTGTTCCAGAAGATGATGAGTTAGATGTAGGGATCAGACCGGATTTCTTTGATGAAGACCAATCCGAAGGTGAAGATGCGCTTGAAGAGTTGAGTAGGTCTGCTAGCTCCGTTTCACGTCCGTTCCCTGACACAGGAAATGAGCATAGTCGCAATGTGAGGCCCCGTGTCGCCGAACCGGAGAGTGAACGCGGTACCTCATTGCAACCATCCCGCAGGGAGTCCACGAGTGCTCCACATGCATGGCCTAATGTGTATGATCATTTGAACGACTTGCCAGCTTCTCTACGAGAACATTTTGAGAGAGCACGCCAGAGAGACGAAGAGCTACCAGAGCAGGATCGAGAAGACGCACATGCCATGTGGACTAGTTTTCTTGCCCAGACTGAGGATGAAGCAGAGCTAGGTAAGAAGGTTCTAAAGAGCATTCACTATGAATCTGCGCCTCCAGAAGTGCAGAAAGCCCTGCAGGAAACCAGGCAAAAGGAATGGTCCAAATTTCGGAGCAGTAGTGGCATTGACCCCAGAACAAGCGCAAGAACTCATTGACGAAGGGCACCAGTGCATTCCACCCAAATGGGTAGATATAGACAAAGCAGAGTACAAGAAGGGGAGAGACCCTGACTACAAGCCCATGTATAAAAGCAGACTAGTTTTGCGCGGGAACTTTGAAATGACAGAGGGTTTGAGGTCAGATAGTCCAACGGCCGATGTCGAGATGCACTGTCTCGTCTGCAGTTGGGCAGCCTGTCATCAGGCCGACATCCATTCAGCTGATATCACCTCGGCGTATTTCCAGGGACGACCATTGGATCGCGTCCTTCTCATGCGTCAGCCAAGAGGAGGTTTGCCAGGTGTAGAACCCAATGTCCTTTTTCTCGTGAGGGTCCCTGTATACGGAATCACGGACTCAGGAAGAGGCTTTTGGTTGCGTTTGGATGCCGATGCACGTAAGAGCGGCCTGAAGGCAAGCCAGTTTTTCCCAGGATTGTACTACCTCCCAGGTGAGCAGGGAGGAGATGCTTGTGCCCTCATGTGCACTCACGTGGACGACTTGCTTTATAGTTTTCTTCCGGAAGGCGAGGAAGTGATGAAGTCTTTTCTTGCCAAGTTCAGTGTCGGCAGCTCAGACACTAACAGCTTTCGATATTGCGGGAAGCAGTTCGTGCGAGGAGATGACAAGGTCATCAAAGTCGACGCAGCAGATAACACTAGGAAGATTCATGGAGCAGATGTTGGGTCTAGGCTAGGCAGTGAGCGTCTTCAGCAAGGAGACATCACGAAGCTCAGATCGATCACCGGATCGCTCGCCTGGATCTCGAGACAGACCAGGCCTGACCTTGGTTACAGGGTAAGCCGTTTGCAGTCTAGCATTAAAGATGCAACTGTGTCCACGTTGGCAGACGCTAATGCAGTCGTTGTCCTGGCACACAAAGGTCACGATGTGGCATTGCGTTTTCCTGCGGCTCATCTCCAATGGAGTGAAGTTGGTGTGATCACGGTCACAGATGCCTCCTTCTCCAACGAGAAGAACTACAAGTCGCAACAGGGCAGGATCCATTTTCTGGGTGATCTCAAGGAGATCAAAGATGACAAGACGACCACTTATAAGGTGATGCCATTGTCTTTTGGATCCACGACAATTAAGAGAGTCTGCCGCAGCACTCTCCAGGCCGAAACGTATTCCCTCCAGAACGGACTCGAGACAGGTGACAAGCTGAGAGGTGTGATTGCAGAGATCAAGGGCAAGATTCGCAGTTTGAAGACATGGGAAGATGATGCCCGTGAATGCATTCCGCATTTGGCGATGACTGATTGCCGTTCGCTTTCTGACCACCTCAATCAGGAAGTCCTGGCCAAGGTGAGTGACAAGCGCCTTGGTATCGAGTTGCAAGGAATCCATGAGAATTTGTGGCAAGAAGGAAGACCAACATGGATTGCTTTCGAGAATGGAGGAGACAAGTTGATCTGGATCGCCACCAGTACGATGGTGTCGGACTGTCTGACGAAGTCCATGAAACCAGATCTGCTACTTCGAGTGCTGAAAGAGTGCCACTACACTGTACAGAAGCAGAAGTAGATTTCTCCAATGCCTTAGGAAGACACAAGAGTTTCAATGTATAGCCGTGTGACACCTGTAGAACAGGTTGAGTGTGAATTTGAGGTAGGATCTCATTCTGTTGAGCCAGGTTGTCACACTATGTTGTGTCTGCCGCCGTTTGGCTCCTAGGGCCCTTGAGCTATACCGTGCTCGCTTTCGCAGTGAAAAGAGCGTGTGGACAGTACGATTCCGGTTGCTACCGACAAAGGTTTTTAAGGGTTTTCAGAGTCGATGTTGTCATGTTGCCGGGTGCGTACCGTTTTACTTCTCACGTTCCACGGAAGTGGAAGATGGTGGCCTGGCCTGGGCGGAAGACCATGCTTCGACCCCACACCAGAAAGCGCCTGCACACGCCGTTGTGCCAGCGTTTTCCAGGGTCAGTGTGCACATCGGTCAGAACGCAGAATGCCCCAAGAATGATCACTTGGGGGGTTTGGCTCATTTTGCTCATCCCATCGGATGTCGCAGGTGAGTTCTTGGTCCGCCTGGATTTGGATCGAACATCGTGCCTCCGTCCCTCCGTCCCCCTGCGCCCACTCCAGCTGGGTCAAACATGGCCAATCCAGGCGGGGCAGAGTCAGACGACGGAGACCCGGACTGGGCGCTACAAATATGAGTCACATGAATGGTTGACCGTGCAGTTCTTTGCGTTCCCTTTCTTGCGGAAAACATGGGGAAGAGGGTTTCTGTCTGTAGACGAAAGCCGGTGAAGGGTTTCTTTTGCGCCGGTGTTTAAAATCCTTTCTAGCCAGGGCCATAGCATGCCATAGCTGCATCCTCCGTGCTTGTCCTCTATAAAATACCGATCATTGACTCTATAAAATGTGTTTTGGATCCTCATTTTATAGAGAGTGACCTGTTTTGGATCAAAGGCTCTATAAAATGCCTGTCAAGACATATCCTAGAGGTTTTTCTGGTTCTGGCCAGGCTGGCTGCCAAGATATTTTGATGTAGGTCGATGTGTCTCTATTTGGTTTTGCATTTCATAGGTGACAATATGTTATCCCATGTTGTCCCACTGTTTTCTTTCCTTGATTTGGTTTTGCATAAATTATAGAGATATCCTGTTCTTCTTCTGAGGTTTGGTTTCATCAGAGGCTTCACTTGTCCATCCCTCAAATGATTTCTCACTACTGCTGGATCGCACTTGGCATTTTATAGAAACACCATTGCCAGGCATTTTATAGTTTTTGTTTCCTTCGCCAGGCATTCTTTATAGACACAATGTCTCTATAAAATGCTCAGCAAAAGATTCCAGTGGCAAAGCACGGAGGATATACTGCAAATTTAATCGAAATCCATCCAGAAGCTTGGTTGTCCTGGCAGGAGAGGTCACAGTGCAGTATGTGGTAGTGAAGTCGCAGGGTCCTCAGAGAAAGACGGTTGAGAAAGACGGCCCAGGTCGGCGAGGAAGATGCCCAGGTCGAAGCCGATAATAGATACAGATACTCTAGAGTCTTTTTGGGCACGCAGATAGGGTAATCAGGTATTTCTGAGAGTTTCTTACTGAGTGTAGCTTCCTCCAGCCTTGGCTGAGGGTGGAGAAATTGTCAGAGGTCGTGAAGAGTGACTTGGCTTGCACGACCTTCCATCCTAGCTCCTTTCACCGGAGGATTCAGCCAACTCGCGACGGTTTGGGAGACACCAGACGTTGGGCTGCGAAGGACAGCAAGAAAAAACCCAACCAGCAAGTTGCCAGGTCGTTCGGTTGAGGTGCGAAGACTTGCGAAGCAGGATGCCGTGTGATTTCTCCCAGACGATTTTCGCCAGAACCGCCTTGTATCTGTAGATTCGGCATCTACCGCCGGACCCACCTCTCACTGGCAGCCTCCCATGAAGAGTCAGGCCTTTCATGACTTATGGCCTGCCGGCAACCATGGGTCTATCATAATATGGTGAACTTTGGTTCATCCACCATGTGTAGAATACATGTACCGGCCCCCTAAGGAGTCTGTATTTACCGTTGGAGGTTAAGGGGTGTCCATGAACTACAAACACTCAGACGGTTTTCACCTTTTTTTAACTGAGGCAAGTGCGGCACCAGCAAAGATTTCTGGTTCGGCACATTTCCAAGTTCCTTGGCACCTCGAGACAAGCCGAAGAACATCTGGCACAAGCATGCACCAGGGACGACGCTTGTCTCGGCCACAGGGTGACATCACCTTCACAGTGTCTTCTGCTTCGCTTGTTTTCGGTGACATGGACATGTGGGACGACTGGCGTTGCGCATCGGCCCACCCCCACCGACGAGCTTCGGTCGACGATGGTCCGGTCGACGATGTTCCGTGACTGACTTCGATCGGTCAGGGCATTCGTTGTGTCGCGGCGTTTTGGACCTGACTTTAGACCCGAAGGATGTCCCACCCGACCACTCAATATTATGGTTGAACAAACATAGGGTGAGGATACGTAGGGCGCAGCAGATATACAGACTTTGGCAGGATGGAGAAGGACGTTCCAAAAGCAGACCCAAACCTGGTCCAAAGGCTATCCAACAGCCGCTTGTGGAGCAGACTCTACCAGTTTGTTTGTCGGTTTGCAAAACACGATCTTTCAAAGATTCAAACGTACAACAAACACCTTTTGTTAGCCTCCAAGACTAGATCATTCAAAGGGTACAACACCTTGGCCTTGAGAAGATTCGCAATCTCCGAGTTCCAAACGTCCGTGTTACCTTGTAAAACGTTTTGCTACCAAACATGCCAAACACAGTAAGAATGAGACAACCAAACTCAAAAGAATGTATAGACATAGGCGAAGCCACGTTTTTCCCCGCCTGTATTAGGGCACCTTGGGATGTACACCGTATAAGTGAATCTTCTTCATTCTGTTTAAGGACTACGGTCATTCATAGGAGGATTTCCATACCCAGACATCCAGTCAATCTAGTCCAACAAAAATCATCAAAACTCATCGTAATACTCCGTTTACATCCCTGCTTTCAGCGTTCCATTTGAATGGAATTGTTGAGAGGCCGCTCCGCCGGGCTCCGCCATGGTTCGCCTGTTCGCGTGTTCGAGGCTCCGAGCATGAGGAACTTGCCAACAAGTTGTCCTCAATACAGGTGGCCCAGTCCTCAGACGGAGTGAAACAAGGACGATCCATGAATCGATCTCGTGAAGATCCTGTCAGACTCGGACTTCGATTTTTTGCGCCGGCACCATGGAGTTTCCTTTAGTAAAGAAACCATGATGAGTCTCTATGCCACAGCATCCCATGTTGCACCGTAGATTCATGATCTTCGTGCTTTTACATTGATCGCACCAATGTGGGATGGATATTGAGGGTAACTATATAACTCATGATCCCAAACTTGCATGAACAGAACAACATGATCTAACTAACTTCATAACACCTCAAGTATCCTCAAGTGGTTGTTTGGCCATTTTTACCAAAGGCAACCTCTGTTTCTGGGGTTTCTTGCTTTTGTCAGTGTTCCAGGGCCCGTTTTGGGCCGCCGAAGCCTTCACCCATTGTTACGCCGCTCCGCCGGGCCCTTACCAGGCGCCTCACTTTCAAAGAAACGAAGAAACGCTACGACTGTGGGGGTTCCCCTATTATAGAGAGTTTATCATAACATTTGGGGGTTTAATAGTCCTTGATCCATCTGAAAAGTCATTGAGGCTACAAGGGAGGCGACCAGTTTTACCCACCGTGACCCACCGTGACCCACCGTGTTTGTTCCATGGTTCCATGGACCAACGGACCGTCTGATTTGTATCAGATGTGGCCGGCGGTTTTCAGAGGTTTTGATCGGACTGAATACGTTCACAGGCACCCTCAAACTTGGTTCACATTGATTTGATGCACAAAAACGTATCCTTACAGTCGATAGAGCATCATAGAACCTGCTTACCCGGCGATTGGATCGGCCTTCAGCGGATGATGCCCAGGTCGGAGGATGCCCAGGCGGACTTCACCAGGTTATACCTTCAACTGGGTTTGGGACAGCGAAGCTCCAAGCCTGCCAGGTGGGGAGTTCTTCCAGATGTGTTGGGGGGGTGAAGCTGTGGCTTCACAGGAAACACATCATTTGAGACAAACGCACAATTATCGATGAATTGTTTTGTCTCATCCAATCATGGGTTTGTTGATTTTTGTTGGACACCGATAGGGGACAGCCCAAAAACGATACACATGTTACCTGTGGAGCTGATTTGCTTCTAACTGAAGCCACTTGGCTTCAAAGCAAGCAGCGATCCGGGCAAGCTGTAGCACGTTTTTCGGTGTCATGTTTTCCTCCAAAGCCATAAGTATCTCAACGATACCTCAAACGTGAGGGATACAACGATAGCCTCGATGTTCAATTCCCACCAGTTGCCCATGTGTGTTTTTCAAGGTTGCGGGCAACATGGGGACGACGATTTCAAGCTCGGATTCTTCGGAAAGCGGTAAAAAAACACTTGCTGCTTGCTGTAACGCATTCATGCGTAGGAAACCAACACCAGGATCATGGAATCTTGCAGAAGAGTGCTAGTTCTTGGAAAACGATAGGGGATGGTCTAATTTGAAAACGAATACAGCCTACATAAGAAATTTTGCATGTGGCTCCTTTCCTTCCACGGCTTCCAAGTTTTTCTTGTGAAAGACAAGTTTTGCTTGTTGAAAGAAGCGCTCACCATCTTGATTTGCAAAATCCATGCGTTGGGTCCATGGTGAAGGAACTCAAACACTTGCATGAACTCATGGGACCAAATTATGCGGAATGTCGCAGTCGTGCACCGAGAGGAGATATAAAGCCAGTGGCCTCGTGTATGTTCTTCTGAATCTCACAGGCTTTTCCAAGTTGTCAGAAGCTGAGCTGCCCCTGATGAAGCAAACGGAAGTCAATGATCAGAAATGCAGATAGCTATTGAATGCTATTGTCATAATTGGAGAGACACGACGAGGTACAAGCACAACATGCGCATGGCAGCTGCTGCGAAGCCCAACACCCAGATTCAGCTTGCAGCAAATGCATAGTAATTAGGTGGGCAGGTTGAGCCGGTCAAACTGGACTGTGGGTTGAGAGCTCGGACCCATCCTGAACCATCTCAGGACCGCGCGCAAGGCCAAGTCCTCAGGTGCGACTCGACGGACGATTTCAGACAGCCCAGTGGGCAGATAGCACGGGCTGGCTCGTGGCAGGGAAGCGAAAGCACAAGGAAGCCAGGAGCGGGGATTTGCTGTGAACAAAGAAGAGAATTTGAACAAGACATGTGTCTACTGCATTGGTGTTTTGCTGTCGGCCTTCCCTCCTGCAGTGACAGTGAGCGCGGATTCAAGTCTAGTTCTATATACACAGGACATATGGGGGGCTCTTTTTTCAATTTCAACTTCATGGCCGGACAGCTTTCAGACGTTTTCACCATCACTTTGATCAGATCTTGGCCAATAAGTGATCTCAGCACCTTGTCTTCGCATTTTCAGGCCAATAAATGCTGAGAAGCTTTTGGAGGACCAACGAACGCCTACCCATGACGAGCCGTTTCACTGTGACGAAAGTTCGAAGGGCTCGCCCTGTCAGGAAGCAGAGACATCCCTCGCGGACTGGGTGACCTCAAAGAAGCCAAGGAGAAAGCTGGGAGATACAAGACACGATCACATGCTGTTTGCTTTTCAGTTCGTGATGAGTAATTACAGTTTTTGTTTCAACATGTTTCAACAAGATTCTGCCAGCAAAGCATCTTCGATGGCTGTCAAGAGATCTCAAGCCAGGGGGGTTGTGGCAACCGGCGACCTCAACCAGCGGTTTCTGCCGAACCAGCCACGGAAGTCACCGCCAGGATTGAAGTGATCAGCGATCCGTTGGCCAGCGAATGGCCCGACCCACGTCCGGCGTCCCCAGGAATCCGACCGACGCACCGGACGCGCGACGGACGCGACCGACGGTGAGGCGTAGCGGTGGCCAGTTCCAGCTCTTCAAGGCGAATGTGGTGACCGGCGGGGTGAGGAATTTGGATAGTCCAAAGGTGTCCTAAAGATGTCCAAAGCCGAAGTGGTTGAACATGTGGATCCCTCCTGGAAGATTCTTCAGACATCTGATACTTGGAAGTCCTTTTGGCTGTCCAGAGATTGTGGAGGTGTCCTGGGCGGGAGACACCAATGGAATACGTATCCCATGTAAAGTAATGGACACTTTCCAAGGCCACATCCTCAAAGCCACGCGGAGAAGCTAGATCTGCACCGGCGGCAGGTGCGCTGAGTCCAGATTGTTCAACCTCTGGATATCTTGTAGGGAAAGCCTCAAGAAACATGATGACACATGATGAAACATGGTCATGTCTCACGCTGGTTTTGTAATGCTTTTTTCATCTCCGTTTTTTTGCACCAAGATTGGGTGTTTATCCGTGTCTGATTATCAGGCACTTTCTCTTTCTTCCTTCTTTTGCGCTTATCTGGCGCATCGACTCACTCTCGACTGTCGCTAGGTCATGGTGATCCAAAAGAGACTAGAAGAATTGCTGCAACAAGCTGAGACAGAAAACACATCCACTGTCCATCACCGAAGAATGCCGAAGAGCACGTTGTTGGCGTGTGACTGACCTCTGACTGTAGGCCGAGTCTACCATTTGATGAGCTGTCTACAAGCCTTGCATTGTCGAAGTTGGAGGACTTTGAGTCAACCTGATCAGTGGTCGAGTCCAGCACCTCACAGTGGTCGAACGGCTTCACATGTATCGACATGTTTCGAAAGAACATTGACCTTCAAAGCTCTTTTGAGGGAGATACACTCTGCGCCACAGGGTCTTCCCTGGAAGTCGTCCGAACTGGCCATGCATGGCCATGCTATCCACTTCTATGGCCATGGGAGTGTAAGAAGCCTTCGAATGTGCTTGATTTGATATGCGGGAGGAATCCATGCGGAAGCGGAAGGGCAAGTTTGATGCCTTCAGCGTTTCTTGGAACACGAGATGAGATGTGTGAGAAATCACACCTGTGAGGTACTAGTAGTGGCGCCAGCAATTTTTATTTTTATATTCATATATATATATAATTATATATATATATTATATTGTTAAACACTGAGATTCTTCATGCAAGCTGAAAGCTAGGACACTCCTCAATTGCTCGGAGTCATGCTGTACCTGGGTTATTGGTAGCTCAAGTGTCCTTATACACAATTCTTACGACGTTCTGGGAGAATGAATCGCTAGGCTGATGTTGAGCGGGTGATCATCTCATTCGTCAACAAGACTGCGGCAGCCAAAGCAGCTGCCGATGCGAAGAAGCCACCAAAGGCTGAAGTTGCTCACTGATCAGCGACGCCTCCAACCTACTAGTGATGGCCTACCTAAGAGCGATGGCCTCCAACCTACTAGCGATGGTCTCCAACCTAATTGCGATGGCCTCCAACCTACTCTAGCGATGGCCTCCAACCTAAGAGCGATGGCCTCAAACCTACTAGCGATGGCCTCCAACCTACTAGCGATGGCCTCCAACCTAAGAGCGATGGCCTCCAACCTAAGAGCGATGGCCTCCAACCTACTAGCGATGGCCTCCAACCT